AGTTCTATTTTTAGCCGCCCCTAGGATCCCTCCTCGCCCATCCTCCCTACCCCACTTCACCCGCCTCCTTTCTCCCGCTCAATGTTCGTCATCACTCCCTCCTCTCCCTCCTCCCTGCGTCCCCCCCTCTCATCTTGTCTCTTTTTGCTGCTCTTTGCCAGAGAATGTCCTCTACGTCTATTAATGTTTCATCAAGCCTTGCTAATAATATATTCATGATGTGTGTGTGTGTGAGTACTCCCAATCCCTCCTCACCACCTTCACCCCCTTTTTTGTCTTCCTTCTCTTCCCCTTTCCATCCTTTCTTCCTCTGTCATTTAAGAAGGAGCTGGGGTTGATTTAAAAATAGCTCAGCTTGCTTGACAAGGTGAGGATCTCTGAACACTGGAAGTACATCAGCTCCCTCTCTCGGTCTCCCCGACATTCGACCACTCTCTTGTTGTTCTTTTTTATTAAATATTTCCCTGATTTCTGCCCGAATTGATCCGTTTTTTAGGCCGTTCTCCTTCCTCTTTTTGTATAAACTGCAGATACGCTAGATTATCAGTCAGATAAACCTGATCTTCAGGATCATATCGTCTTGTCCTCACGTTGAGGTGAATCCTATACCTTTTTGTTCTGCTTTAATCAATCTTATCTCCACTTCTATACAATCTTCATCCTTTCTTTGCTTTGGGAGTTACCTCCTATCTTTGTCTTGTTTTTATATTCATATCTGCTCCATCTTCACACTCCCTATTTCTGTGTGAAAATGGACACCTTCATCCAAAACAACCATTGAGTTGTCATGTAAGGGCTTAGAAAGAGGCTTTTCCTAAGTAGCAGTTTAATTGTACTTTAAGGTGTGGCTGATAATAGATATACCGCTTGTAAGGTGTTCTTATACCCGTCTCGTCGTCACCTGTGAACAGCCCCGGGCTTAACGTCACGTCGGGACTCTGAGTTGTTGTTATTGAGAATACTTAAAGTGGTCTAACCTGATGTGTGAAGGCGTGTCGTAAGCCTGTGAACAATGAGGACCATATTTGTGAGATTCATTTCTACTGTCAAGGAGATAACGCCAGCGGTGAAAGAATGATAAACGCTGGATGGAGAAAGTGTGTGACTGACAGTGAAATGCTGATGGTGTCATTTGACAGGTTTGGAGAACATGGATCCAAAACGCAAAGTGAAATCATAGTCTCGATAATTCATTATGAACTGGTTTGTTCAACTTTTAGGGATTTTTAAGAGCATCTACTCCCTTATTAGTTGAATAGACTCCACCTCTGACCTGCTACATACTGTATGTATGATTATTGTAAAAAAAGAGAAACAAAACTTAACATATCTTTCTTTTCTGTCTCCAGTTGTGACGGGCGCCACTGATGGAATCGGGAAATCCTATGCGGAGGAGGTGAGGCTCCCAGACCCTTATTTATTTAATTTCTATCAAGGCATAGCTGTGACTCACACACACACACACACACTGTTCACTCATAGGCCACGGTAGGGAAGAGCTCTTACAGACCTATTAGTGTGGAAGAGAGTCCTCACACATATGCACTTCAACACAGGTTCGTCAACGAGAGCTCATATTGAGGTAACAAGCACACGTTGGATCTGGGCTACCCGTCCTCGTGTCGACCCAAACTGCTGTGTGTGTGCTGGCTGTAGAATGTAGTCATGTAGGACCTTTGACTCATACTGTTACTGTTGGCGCTACACTGGGTCTAGCTGCTTGTCCCGCAACGCTAGGCCGCCATTTTACGTTCTTTTTTTTTTCTAAAAGCATGCTTCCATTACATTTAGCACATGCAGGTGGAGATAAATGATCCATCTAAAGACACTGAATACATTTGGATGTTCTGCACGCATTGTTCTCCCGCTGATCAAATCAAGAGTTAAATCATACTTATCACAAGTTGAGGAATAAAACTTAGAGACTTGATATGTTAAATGAAACTGACAAGACAGTGATTTCCAGGCACTGATATTCCAGATTGTCTGTCCCTTTTGCTGCCGTCAGTAGTTTCAATTTACATGAAATTGTCCACCAATATATTAGAAGATGCATTCCTTACTAACGTACTGTATTTCTCGTTCCAGCTGGCTCGCCGTGGATTTGCCTTGATGTTGATCAGTCGCTCCCAGGACAAGCTGGATGACGTGGCCAGGTCACTAAGTAAGTGTTTGTTTTTTTGTTGGTCTGCACAACATCATGGAAACCCATTTGGTGTAAGAGCACAGTGAGTGGGCTGCTGAGGATGCATGTGTGTGTGTGGACAGGAGTGTGTGTGTGTGTGTGTGGACGGGATGTGTGTTTGTGTGTGTGTGTGTGGACGGGATGTGACGCGCAACCTCCCTCCCTGTCGACTACAGGGTTTCCAAGGCCCAGATAAGAGGGCCTCTATAGCCTTGACATAAGGATTTATAATGAAAACAAAATCGGAAAATAATCGCTGCACTGTTTAAGGAAAAAAAATCCAGGTTTGCATGAGTTTATTTTACATTGACTATGTAGTGTTGCAACAAGTGTGGATCGATTAGCTTCATATTTCAAAAACAAAGTATTTGTTTGAGTAGATTTACCTTCCAAACCTTGGCATCTCCCAAGTCGTGCCTCCATTCTGTAGAAGTGTTGTGGATTTGGAAACGTGCAGCTAACAAAGGCAGGCTGTGTCTAAGAACTTCCCCCCTTGGTATGAAAGAAGACGGGTTAAATATCCGTCTTGATTTTGTAACGGACTCATTAAATAACCTGTTCCTGAGATTTCGTAAAAAACAAAACCATGCATTCCTCATTCAGATGTAAAAGGAGCATCTGTGTTAAAGGCTACTCCAGGTTAAAACAGTCTGAATGGTGAGTGTCCCGCCCCCCCCCCACCCCCTGTTTAAATAGTGCCCTCTCCCTGACTCGCTCTCTTTCCATCTGTCTCTGACGTCTCCCACAGCGCAATTTCCCCTGTCGTGCTTAAAGTCCACAGAGGGGGCTGATGGGTAGTCACGAGCGGGATGCATTGTGCCAAACTCTGGCACTCCTCCCTCACGATTAGTGGGGAAAAACACCCGCCCTCCTTTGCATGTAACCGCATGAACCGCCCTGTCCCACCTGTAATTCAATTAACAATGTTTTTCTCATGCAAATATGTGCATAGTTTAGTTTTTTTTAAATCACACATACCTGGCAACCCCAAAATGACACCAATTTGGAGCCTTAATATTTCTTTGCCACCATGTCCAAAGCTTATTATTTGATCTTGTTTTTTCCTTGCTTTAACCCAAAGAGGTTGTGATTTCTAAATATAATCTGAGCTGGATATAGATTTCAGGGAGGCTACCCTACCCTTTTATTTTTACTTGCATCTCTCAGGTCTCCCCTTTTTCCCCCTAGTCTAAACTCTGAATATCCACTGACACACTGCTGGTCTTTTTCAAAGCAAATCAGAGGAATTTTCATCTTATAACCCCCTCTGCCACCTATCGGCTAAATGAGTCTTTGGACAATAAATTGTAATTGCAGCAGGCGCGTCAAACATGACGGCGGAGTTAA